CACTAATGAAAAAAAACACTACTACTACACCTCACTTCATAGAATGGCACACTTCATCTCATAAACTCATCATACATGACTACTTCAGTTTCTACCTATATGTGTTAATTTCTACTATTTTTTATCCAAACCACGCGTTAACGATCCACGTGACATGGTTGACATGAAGAAATAAAAAATTCACGATTCTTCAAATAGTACCTGTTTTAGCCAATATAGTACCACATGTTACTCTACGAAGTACTTGTTTTCTGTCAATTAGTACCTACTTTTAGTCAACCAAGATGGATTATTTTAATTGTGGTCAACATTTAAAGAAAGTAGTACCAGTCATAGGGTAACATAGTACCATATTATGGGACACTAGTACTACATATCAGGTCATTAGTACCACTTTTAATGAACACATAGAAACACCAAACTTCGGTTGCAAATGATGTTTATACGACACATAATCACTCTCACATTTGTTTATAAGAGATTTAAAAATGTTTTAAATTGAGTTTAATTATAAAATGTTCATGAACTCCACACACTAATGAGAAAACACTACTACTACACCTCACTTCATAGAATGACACACTTCATCTCATAAACTCATCATACATGACTACTTCAATTTCTACCTATATGCTTTAATTTCCACTATTTTTCATCCAAACCGCGTGTTAACGATCCACGTGACATGGTAGACATGAAAGAATAGAAAAATCACGATTCTTCAAATAGTACCTATTTTAGCCAATATAGTACCACATGTTCCTCTACGAAGTACCTGTTTTCTGTCAATTAGTACCTACTTTTAGTCAACCAAGATGGATTATTTTAATTGTGGTCAATATTTTAAAAAAGTAGTACCAGTTATAGGGTAACATAGTACCACATTATGGGACATTAGTACCACATATCGGGTCTTTAGTACCACTTGTAATGAACACATTGAAACACCAAACTTCGGTCACAAATGATGTTTATACGACCCATAATCACTCTCACATTTGTTTATAAGAGATTTAAAAATGTTTTAAATTGAGTTTAATCATAAAATGGTCATGAAGTCCACACACTAATGAGAAAACACTACTACTACACCTCACTTCATCTCATAAACTCATCATACATGAATACTTCTATTTCTAGCTATATGTTTTAATTTCCACTATTTTTCATCCAAAACACGTGTTAACAATCCACGTGACATGGTAGACATGAAGGAATAGGAAAATCACGATTCTTCAAAGAGTACCTATTTTAGCCAATATAGTACCACATGTTCCTCTACGAAGTACCTGTTTTCTGTCAATTAGTACCTACTTTTAGTCAACCAAGATGGATTATTTCAATTGTGATCAACATTTAAGGAAAGTAGTACCAGTCATAGGGTAACATAGTACCACATTATGGGACATTAGTACCACATATCGGGTCATTAGTACCACTTGTAATAAACAAATAGAAACATAGTACCTGTTTTAGCCAATAGAGTACCACGTGTTCCTCTACGAAGTACCTGTTTTCTGTCAATTAGTACCTACTTTTAGTCAACCAAGATGGATTATTTCAATTGTGGTCAACATTTAAAAAAAGTAGTACCAATCATTAGAGAAATCACGCTTCTTAAAATAGTACATGTTTTAAACAATATAGTACCGCATTTCATTCTCTCTCTGTACCTGTTCGTGGTCAATTATTACCGACTTTTGGTCAACAAAAATGGATAATTCAATTGTTGTCAACATTTGCAATAATTGGTACCAGATGTTGAATACGAAAATACCAGCTTTCGCTATGGTAGTACCAGATATGGGGTCTTTAGTACCACGTGTAATGAACATAGACATGAAGATTTAAAATAATCATGTTTCAGGCAATATAGTGCCGCTATTTGTTCTACATAATACCTGTTCTTGATCTATCAGTACCTACGTTTGTGAAGTAAAATTGATTATTTCAATGTTGCTCAAAATTTACAAAAAGTAGGTAAGATTATTCTGCCTCAAGATTAGTACCTTTTGTTGATGGATTAGTACATTTTTTCCAGTACATTAGTACATGTTGTTCGGCCTTCAGTACCACTTCTAAATACCAAGCAAAGGCAACTCGCGAGGTAATGGCGATTCGCGGGATAGGCCACTTATTCGCGGGCACGAATTCTAGTGTCTGAAATTGGTCCCTAGCTCGCGAGTTTGCGTTAGCTCGCGAAAATGGATTTCGAGGGCGCGAATTCTAGAGGGTTGAGTTTACTTGGTATTTAGAAGTGGTACTGAAGACCAAATAACAGGTACTACTGTAATAGAAACATGGTACTAGCGTACTCTATAACTGGTACTACCCACTATTTGGGATGAAAATGAGTACAAACATATATGTCCACAAAACTAATACCTATATTGCAAAAGGAGAGTGCCTGCTTTGACGTTCTTAAATACTCATGCAGAGTTGAAAAAACATATGAAAATGAAGCATCTTCTGTATCAATCTTTATATGTACTGTAGCATTACTCGCAAAATATTCATACAGTACTTACTCGGAATATGTCAATAATGTCTCATCAAAAAACATATTCCGACAAAAAAAAAAAAGCTAACTAAAAACGACACATGCCAACACACCTGCCCACAAACAAAATACATCACCGATCTACATTCGTTCTTTGCACGTACGTCAATTGTGCCCACGACCACCACAACGCTTACAACGCCTAACCGCAACATCAACTTGTGAAGGAAACCTTTTTTCCCTCCTTCGTCTGGGCTGAGATCGTACATCCGGGCATGAATGACATCGTCATGATGCAATGGGAAAGATGCCACATTGTAGTCGTAGTTAAGTATAGGGTTAATAGTACCTTGATAAGCTTTTCTATACATCCCAATGCGATAAAATAAATCACAAAAATCATAGACGGACATTGACCTACTCTCAATACAAGCACATGCATGCTTGCAACATTACCTGCTCATGTTCATCGGAAAGGATTGAACTCCATCGTCCGGTCTTTCTTTTCTTTCAAGGGCAAACATCTCTACAATAATCACTTTCCAACTAACATGTAACTGAATCATTTTCTTCACATCCTCATCATCCAACAAGCTAACTCTCTTGTTTTTCCTTTGGCGCAATATAGCAAAGCACGACGGATTCAAAATTAACGTCCGGGCACCTCTGAGATATGAGAGTGTACACTTCGTCAAGCGTTAATCCAGTGTACATAGAGAATAAAAACAATTAATTATTGTACGTATAACTCCCTAGTAGACCACTTTGTGCCCCTTTCATGTATCTAAGAATAATTGGGTAAATAAAAAAATAAAACTTCACATTCCCTGAAAAATGTGGTACTAAACAGTATTAATGTGGTACTATAAGCATTCAAACAGAGGTACAATAATCAAGAATAGTGGTACAATGATCATTCCCACATTATTTTCTTGTTTTAGGGTGAAAAACTCATTACATAACCTAACAATAGCATCAATTTTGTATACATGAATAACAATTTTTTTTTATCAAATTAATTGATTTAGGGTTAATATTAACAACATTATTCAAAATTCAATCCTTAACAAACTAACCAAAAATATATGAATTAAACATGATTTTTGGACTCCAAGATCCTTATGTAAATGCATATAATACTTATTACTTCAAATTTTGGCCGGAAAAATCACTAATGTTGCCGGAAAAAGATGAACATTTTCGCCGGATTTGACGTCGAAATCATTTGTTTGGCCGAATTTCGTGTCGCCGGAGATCAACCTGCAAAAAAAAAAAAAAGGAGCGGTCGCCGGAGGGAGATGGGAGGGAGACGGGAGGGAAAAATGAGGGAGTGGTGTGTTGGAGAAAAAAGAACATTCAAATAAAATAATATTATGTGTTTGGGTTGGTGGAGATAAAGTAATAATAAAATAATATGTTAGTGGGATGATGTACATAATTGATTTTATTTTTGACTTATTTTAAAGGTAGGGAGTTAGAAGGAAAATGATTATGGGGGTAGGGAGTTAGAAGGAAAAAATTTTGATTAGGGACTGATAAGGAAGTCAGATTTAGCTTTAGGGATTTTTGAGGAACTTCCCCAAATAATAATTGAGTATTATATGGTGAACGAGAATAAATAAAATTTTTATTTTTTCTTATATCAATGAATAAATATGTATTCTAAAATCAAATAAATATTAGTATGACGTGTTAGCGGATTTATATATTAATTAACATGTTAATTTTTTGGCTTAAATAAACCCCACTTATTAAAAGATGTGAAATATGGATGATCCAAGCCTATTGTTTTTTTGTCTAGACGTACAAGTCGTATAGAAATAATTGATTTATTATATGTATCACGTGCTTCGCACGGGGTATGCACTAGTTTTAATATCATAAGACAATTTAAATATAAAAATACCTTTTAAAAGCAAATAAGTAATAAATGCTCCAATACGTACTAGTTTCCCATAATTTAAAAGACAATCAATTAATTTGTAAACTATCCTAGCTAGATTTTCAGACAATAATGGGATGAACTCCGAGAAAATCATAGTCCATAGATAATGAGCATGTGCATGAACCGAAACAAATATCTCCACGACATAAATTCTGTGATTTGCATTAATCTTCATATGCCAATTCCCAATCTGTTCTTTTTTTTTATTATTTATTTTTTATTTTTTCTAATTTTGCAGTATTAACTTTTGTAATCTGAACTAATTAATTATTTGTGAACACGTCGGTTTTGCTATGAAGCCAACAGTTGATTCATAGTGGAGACAATCTGCTATATACAACAAATAAACTTACCATATTCACTGATTACTTAAATAACATTAATAATATGATAGGTTTATTTATTGTATATAGAAGGTTGGCTCCGCTATGGAGCCAGATGTTGGCATTATAGCAAAACTGGTGAACACGAAGTGAATCTCACATCCTTAATTCATTATTTTTGTTTACTTATTTATGAGAAGAGAGCATTTCTGCATACATTCCAAAGATTAAAATGAGAGCTCTACTTTTCATTCTTATTATGGTTTTCTTCTCAGATGTTTTCCCACAGAGCCTCCAGCAGCCGCCGCCGCACCCAATCAAGACCGTCGTAGTCTTAGTCCTCGAAAACCGGTCATTCGACCACATGCTCGGGTGGATGAAAAACTCTGTCAACCCCTCCATCGACGGCCTCACCGGCAAAGAATGCAATCCAATCTCCACCACCGATCCTGCCGGCCCGAAGATCTGCGTCTCGGATGACTCCGAGCACGTTGATTTGGACCCGGGCCACACGTTCGAAGACATCCAGAAACAGGTGTTCGGATCCGACCTGTACCCGTCCATGTCGGGTTTCGTGGAGCAAGCCTTAACCATCTCGAAAAACCTCTCCGAGACCGTGATGAAAGGGTTCCGCCCGGAGAAAGTCCCGGTTTTCGCCAAGCTGGCCGACGAATTCGCCGTGTTCGACCGGTGGTTCAGCTCGATCCCCGGGCCCACCCAGCCGAACCGGATTTTCTTATTTTCGGCCACCTCCCACGGGTCCACGACCAACGTGAACCGACTCATGGTCGACGGGTACCCGCAACAGACCATATTCGACTCGATGCACGAAAACGGCCTCGACTTCGGCATCTACTTCCAGAGCTTCCCGGCCACGTACTTGTACCGGAATTTACGGAAGTTGAAATACGCGTCCAAGTTCCAGCGGTATGAGTCGAGGTTCGAGAAGGACGCTAAGAGTGGGAAGCTGCCGAGCCTCGCGGTTATCGAGCCCAGATACTTTGATGTTTTGGGCCGGCCCGCGAACGACGATCACCCGTCTCATGACATTGCCCACGGGCAGAGGCTCGTGAAGGAGGTGTACGAGACGCTGAGGGCGGGCCCGCAGTGGAACGAGACTTTGTTGGTGATCACTTACGACGAGCACGGCGGGTTTTACGACCATGTCCCGACACCTTACGTGGGGGTCCCGAATCCTGATGGGAATGCGGGGCCTGCGCCTCATTTCTTTAATTTCGACAGGCTCGGGGTTCGTGTGCCCACCATTATGGTCTCTCCTTGGATCAAGAAAGGGGCAGGTAACTTGTGACTTGGCGATTTTAAATAGAAGAGTTTTATACAAAATGTTCTTGGAATTATCTGCTAGGTTGGTTAAACACTCAAATGATTTCCATTCAGTAATGTATATGCAATGTAGTGTTTGTATGTTATATTCTTCACTCCCTGTGCTGTGTAGTGATAAACAGGCCAAAGGGGCCTTCCCCAAATTCCGAATACGAACACTCGTCAATACCGGCAACCATAAAGAAGGTCTTCAATCTCTCGTCCCATTTTCTCACGCACAGAGACTCTTGGGCTGGCACGTTCGAGCACGTTTTCAGTGAGCTGACCTCTCCAAGGATCGATTGCCCAGGTCAATAAAACACATAAAGTTTTCATTGTAGCTTGAATTATTACTTTCTTACACAGGTATACATTTCTTTGTTTTGTTTAATGTTTTTACAGAGGTTTTACCTGATGTTGCTCCTTTGAGGAAGGAGGAAGCCGATGAAAACAGGGGGTTGTCCGAGTTTCAGGAGGAGCTCGTCCAGCTGGCGGCTGTTCTTAAGGGCGATCACTACTTGAGCAGCTTCCCGAATGAGATGGTTAAAAAGATGAAGGTTCGGGAAGCTAATGAGTACGTAAAAGGTGCGGTGTCGAGGTTCATAAGGGCGAGTAAAGAGGCTAAGAAGCTTGGGGCCGACCCGTCTGCCATTGTCGACATGCGATCTTCTCTGACTACACAAGCTTCGTCGTTCGTCCACAAATGATTACTTTCGAGTCCATGGAGATCTATCTAATTCATATAATATAATAATTTCAACAGTACAGAAACACAAAGATTGAAAGGAGGGAAAGGAGATGAAAACTATGAATCCAATGTGATATAGTTTATGATGTCAAGGAAATTATAATGCAAATGAGTATATTATACAGAGGATGCTCTACTCTACCCGCATGGTATCATCATCTATTCCATAATTGTGTTTCTATCTTATGTTCGATCCAGAAATTAAAGAGTAGACTGGGCTAGAATTTTAAAACTTATTTTCATACAAATCACATACTATTTTTTTTTTAAAATATTAACTGAAGTTATGCTCGACGTTAACTTGACGAGCTTTTAAAGATGTCAAAGTGGTAAATGGTAATGATGATTAATTGTAGTATGTATGCAAGAACGACCAACCTTATAAAAGTCATCTAAGTTCGAAACATTAATATCTTTTTTTTTTTTTTTTTTTAGCAAAAAACTTTAACATCCTAAAGAAATCCCTACCATCTTGATTCTCATCTTGAAGAATATTTTTTGTGATAAAGACCAATGTGATGATAGTCATCACTATATCTTGAGTTATCTTTTTTCTTTGAAGTACTTGACAAACAGTGTCAGTGGTTCTGAAAATTGTGTGCAAAGATTGTCAAATTTCTATAAACCCCATGAACTTCAGTCACGCATACAATGCTCTATGAGATTCAAAAGCTTTGCAAGTGGCAGCATACATATCAATCAAGTTCTTCACAGAGTTATATTGAGAGCTCCAACAATACGTTGCAAGTTACCAATTTGGTTGGCGCCACACCATGAGTCTAGCTCACCACTAGCTAATAAATTCTCAAGTCCTCTTCTTTAAGCCACTCGTGACTTAGAAACACGCTTTGGTAAAAAAGTAATGATATTAACAACATTATTCAAGTGAGAAAAGAGCTCTCACATAAAACTACTAACATCCTATGCAACTCAAACTAATGCCAAATTGTAAATGATCTGCAAAACATTAAATCCAATAAGCATATGGAAAATCTTTGAAAAATAAGGTTTGAAAACCATTCCACGATACAGTATTATGGATAATGAAATTTTGGAAGTTACAGAATTGCACTATAAGACGGTAAACAAAAAACGTCACTCAAATTGCGGAAGCGAATCAAACATAAAATGAACCTTCACGAGAGCATCTTATTCTCCCTCGGAACTATTTCAATCAAATAAGTGTTTAGCTAATAAGTACAACTAGAATTTACAACAAAGATTCAATCAAATAAGTATTTATCAAATAAGTGTTTAGCTAATAAGTACAACTAGAATTTACAACAAAGATTCAATCAAATAAGTATTTGGCTAAATAAGTGATGGTATAATTGTAAAAATGTGGCAACCCGACACTTAATTTAAAAAACAAAGGTAGTGTATATTATATTATAATTATAACAATAATTATTTTAATATATTTCATAATATAATAATGTATATTATAAATGTTTGAATTTTCTTTATAATCTATCAATTCATATGACAGTGGGACACCTATTAATTTAACATTATAATTCATAACAATACACCGTTATATATATTTTAATTTTTTTTAAGCTAACATTTTACATTGTTGTTGACAACTAGTTTGATGGTTTACATTGTAATTAATAACAATATATATTATAAAATATTTATTTTTTCTAAGTTAATATTTTTGATGCATAGTTTGTTGTTGACAACTAGTTTGTTGGTTTATTATTGTAACTAGTACAACACTCATGTATTACACGGGTGCTTGTTAAAAAATTATTTTTGAATTTTAAAATTAATGAGAAAACTATATTAAATTTAGTTTAATTTTTTACAAAAAAAAATATATTACTATATATTTTAGAATGATATGTGTTACTTATGATTTACATGTGTTATATTATATTAGCTTTTATAACTTATATCATATAACTACTTGAAATATAAATATATTAGTTGATAAATAATTTTATTTTTCTAATTAATATTAAAAATAATTTTATTATTGTTATAAAGATAAATATAAATTATTTTTATTATACATACAATATGGATGTTAAATCGAAGCTCATCAAAACAAAATTAATTTGATATATTACATATGTAAAACTGATAAAAAATACAAAAGTTATTAACGTTTAAAATATACTAGTACAACACCCGTGTATTACACGGGTGCTAGCTAATTTTTTTCTTAAAATTTAAAATTAATGAGAAAAAATAGTT